CAGCAAATGTACCTGATGATGACAAAACCTTGTCGAAACGTTGTACATTTGCAGTTATATTAAAGTTTTTCTTCATTACCCATTCAAGCCGTCTCCAGCCATTATAAGTAATAGAAAGTTACAAGTCAGCAAACTGTATTTTGAAGATAATGTAAATGTGTTTTTTTTCTTCCCTTCTACCTGAAATTTTGGCTTATGCCTTTTTCAATGGTCTATGATTGTCACAGGTTACATACACTAGTTTTGTAACCACTGATGTTCATAGACACCTGAAAAAGGTGCAAGTCAAATACTGTGTACAAGTTTAAAAAAACAACAACATTTATCTTAAGTTGTTTGTCATCTTCATTGAAAATGGTTTCCATCCTTCAGTCAGCACTAAAACTTTAAAAAATAATAAAAACATAATGTCAACATCTACAGTACATTCTTCAAAATTGTTGTGCAGTTGTTCTAGAATAGTTAATCAATGTCTTCACAAAAAGAATATGAAGGAATACAATTACTACTAGCCCTTTGTCTTAAACAAAGGTTACATACCATAATGATGGCTCAGTAAGGCCTGTATTTGCTTGACCGTGTTTCTGTCATCAATCCTCTGGAATACATGTCATATTCAAGTTTAGAGGTGATACAGAGGCTTGTGAGCTGAGTTTTTCTGCTTTGAAAATGTATAATAGGAATGATCCTTGACATAGATCATTTATGATTATTGAGATTTCATACTAGAACTTTCATTCTTACTTGAAAATGTGATATGCCATATCTTCATCTTGTGCAGCCATGTTTATATCACACTCCAGCAGCCAAAAGTTTATTAAATCAAACTTAAAGATTACTTAGCTCAAATGAAGAAACCCATCCCAACAGTCAAGCATTTGAATAATGATTATTTCTTTGTTCAATAACTTCTGTCTTCCCTTCCTTTGCTGTGAAAGTTCTCTGCTCATCTTATTGTACAATTTGCTGTATACTACAGATACTTGAAATTCAAATGTTGGATATCAGTGTAACTGAATATTAGAAAGTAAATTATTAAGATACATTTTGCATGGAGTTTCTTTGTTTCGTTTAACTCTCAGGTTATTTTTAAGTTTAGGATCATTTTGGAATAGCACTGTCTGAGACCATATAGAATTTACAGTGGAGAGAAGGATGTCACAGTTGAGATGAGGACACTATCTAAGAACATACCAAGGATTATGAAAACCTTTCTCTTGAATTATAGATTTTGCCATCCATGACTATAACAATATCCATGTTCTTGATCCATCCTTGGAAACAAAAATAAACTAAGAGAAATTCGATGACGAGGAACCCACTTTGAGACTAATAATGGCTGGAGACGGCTTGAATGGGTAATGAAGAAAAACTTTAATATAACAGCAAATGTACAACGTTTCTACAAGATTTTGTCATCATCAGGTACATTTATGTAGCGGGTCACGAGTCTTCTGGCTAGATAGGTACCTGATGATGACAAAACCTTGTCGTAACGTTCTACATTTGCTGTTATATTAAAGTTTTTCTTCATTACCCATTCAAGCCGTCTCCAGCCATTACTAAACTAAGAGAAACCCTTGCTGCTACAGCTCAAAGCAGGGTTAAAGGACAGTAAAGACGGGTTAGGTTCAAAAGAGTTAGTGAACATCTCAAAACTAACTTTAGTCTGTTCTGTAATACTCCTTAGTATTTGTACTGCAGTCCAAGCAATGTAAGGTACCGAATTGAATAACCAATAATTAGAGAGATGCAAGATATACACAGTGGACAAAGTCTTCTAGGGAGAGTCATAATGTAACCAAGCAGGGTAGCCATCTTATTTCTGTGGGTAATTAGGGAAATCATGAGTCTTCCAGTTTGGTAAGGCACACCGACAATGTTTTTGAGACAATAACTGGCACTGAGATTGATACAGAATACATACATGAAGAATATTATTACATTTGTCAGGATGCACATATATAGAAACATGCACATCCTGTTGAGAGACAGAAATATTGAGTACAAACAAAGTACCCATCCCCAATGATGGGAAAGTCTAAGTTAATCTAGCAAAAGTACCCATCCCAGTGACTGGAAAAGTTTAAGTAAATCTATCAACTTAAATTACTTCATGGACTTTAAAAAGGTTAATTGTGTTGTACTCTTGGTTTCACTCAGAGCCAAAGCTCTGAGTTACTTATACTGCCCACTGCAAAAAGTAATTGTTGAGTATTTCAGTCATGCTAAGAGCTGCTTGACAATAACATACACACAGTAAATCTACATTTTTATTCTTTAAATTATGTCACATTATGAAATGTGAATGATAAAGTGATTAATTCCTAACATATCCTGCTTGTGAAATACAATTTTGCATCAACATTATTCATGCCTGTTCTCCCATCATTTCAAAAGTGAATATTAAGATTTGCCTGCATGCTTATCTTATCAAACAAAGAGTGGGAAGTGGCTGCCCTAAACAAGAGACAGACAGACACGGTTTGCAATATATATAAGATTAGTAATGTTCTAACCAATGCTGCAGCTAGTTATAAATGTAGTTACTCCAGTTTTTTTAAACTAGTGCAACCTAAGGTGAGTATGCCCACCACCATGGATAGGTACAGCAGTCAACTTTATCCAATGTCATTTGGATGGTTTGAAAAAACACGGACTTGGCATCATATGATATATCCCCATAAAGATACCTGAACAGAATATGGAGGACTTAGTACGTACTGGAGCACCCAGGACCTTCCTCTCCATGCTAAATATTAGGTGCTTGACTGACCCAACCACTTTGACCAGTTAATACAAATTTCTTTCTGGCAAATGGTAACAAGATAAATAAGTCTGACAAATTTTCTCTTTAAACAAAGATACATATCTTTGATCTTGATTTAAGCATTCGCATCCTAGGGATGCAATACTAAAGAAATTATCAGCCAATAGTTAAATAACAGTTCTGTGGACAGAAAATTCAGTATCAACCAGATTAGGCCAGAGATCAATGGAGTGAATGAATGCAAGTTGAGAAGGAGGCAGTGATGCCACCAAATACGCAAGTAGTATGTGCTACCATCTGCTACAGTATTAGAATTGAAACCAGAAAATAATATTTGTGTCTGGAAAATGGGATGCATTTGTTCAAACAGTGCTTGTCTGTAATTATGAACATTTGGTCCTTCAACTTATCATTGGAATGACATAAGCCAACTGTATGTTTCAGTCATTTTATCACGTCCTGAGGACCTCAAGTTTCTAGTTGATGACTATACCAACAATCATGAACACAAAAACTCAAGTGAATTGTTAATGAAACATGCTGATATGTTTGTAGACCAAAATGGCTGGGAAACAATTACATAAGCATTCATTACACAATTCCAATAAAACCTTCACAAAAGCTTCCTTGGGGCACCAGGAAAGCTGAAATTACATTAACCTTATGGTTACAGGGTTGAACCCATTTGGCTACTTCTCATATGGAGAATAATGCACAATTCAACAATACTTACATTAGCTCTGAGCTTTCTTAATTTATTTTCACAGCAATTGGTAAGAGTTTGTTAAAGATTACAAGTATTTTGAACAAAAAAGAATTAGTTTATTTTAATTAAGTATTTTTATCTACAGATTTGTTATTTTTGTATTGTAGTTATTTACACTCAAGATTCTATGAGTATTATCATCAATGTCTTGTACAATGATATGTTTACAATTAAAAATATAAACAAATGTCCATACCTTTTAATTTTTTATTGAATAATCTTAAAAAATTGTCTTTTGGTTATATTTTTAATTGCAAGTTTTTATTTTTCACATATAGTTTATTTTTGATGTTTTATTTACCTATCCTGTTCTTCAAAATTATTACTTATTGTGACACAAGTCAATGAGTGTTCTTGAGCAATATTATGGAATCATAGGCAGAGACACTTTAGCCTTTGTCAGAATGTTGGGACATTTGCCTACTACACTAGGCCTGACAAACTGAGGCAGTTTGGCTTATATTTGAAATAATTATTAAACCTTTCTAATATGCATTTTTAAAACATAATTAACTAAAATATAAAACTAAAACCTATATACAATTTGATTGTCTATCTAAATAACATATTTATAAGTAAGAAACAATGCTAAAGTGATAGCGAGGACAAAAGCAACAACAATGCTAAGAGCAGTCTGATGAGTTCTCTATGGAATTCTTCATGCCAATTTTAAAATAACTATTGAGAGATTGTATTTTAAAATGTAATCTTTCTGTTGGTTATAAACATCTAGCTCAACTAAGTATAATTGGCTAAGAAATCATAATTATATGTGTAGAAAGTGGGCATAGAGTCTGTCAAGAGTTCCAGGAAATTTCTTTTCTCTGAACATACTCTAAGGAACTTCAAAGAAGAATTTGTAAACAGAGCAATTAACCTAGATTTTATCTATACATTGAAGGTTAGTGTACATCAAGAAGTATTCAAGTTACAAACTCCAGAAGTTAAGTTTTGTGAACTTTTGTGCCAACCTGATGTTTAAGAATTTTTCTT